TGTACAGGTGAAATATAGGTAAAATATATTGTATTGTGTTAAAGGAAATAAGCATAAAGGTTTATATGGACTACCAATTTAGATACAGTTGATGATTGATTGATTGATTGATTGATATTCCTTTTAAACAAGGATTAGTATGAGTACAATATCATATAATGTTGTTATAAGAGGGCAACTGACATGTTATTTCTTCTGCAATCTTTGATCAATTAATTCTTGGTTATAGGCCAAGACTCAGATATGTATCACATAGGATATTGCTTATATAATGTAGAGAAAACATGAGTCCGTCATGCAATCGTCAACTTCCTGTGTCCTGGTGCAAGAACGTCTAGGCAACCCTGGCCCGACCTAAATATTTAACTGTGAATTATGTAAGCCATCTTGATAGAGATAGTTAGGTTTTCGAGTTTGCGTAGCGCATTCCTGCAAAAAAAGCCTCAATACATTCACCTGTTAGTGACTGAGGTTTATTGCTACTTGTTTTTTTGTTTTTTTTATGGTAATGGTGGATTGGAGACTTGAAAAAGATGGTCTAAACGACAAATAACCTTAAACCCAAAAAATTTTTTAAATTACTAGTTTCTCGTCCCTTCGCTCCCCTATTTTACGAAATATACTGTATAAACATACTGTGTAACTCACATCATTAAAATTCCTCCCTCAATTGTTCGTGGTTGGGGATACATTTGGTATGAATCATGTCTCGTGCTTCTTTTATTTGCTTTCAATGTGTCTACTTGGTAAAAATGAGAAAGTTAGCCGTTTTCCATCAACCATCTTATATTTACACTCTCGGATTAAAAAAAAAATTACACTCATTCTCCTTTTTTCAAAATATTAGCACGGCAAACTAATTTTTTTTTACTTTACCTAAAACAGATTTAAAACAGATTAAAACCGATTATTTGCAGAGCAACCAATGCTACGAATGAATAGGTAGAGCAAAGAAGTAGCATTTAAAAGATAGTCAACTCACTTAAATTTTTATATATTTCAACTATGTTTTATGTGGGTTATTCATATGGATAGTATATAATTGTGATTTTGTCTGCCGCATGATTAAAAAACTGTACAGTAATATAGCTGTACTTAGAAACTATACAAAACAATTTTGAATTCTCAGTAATCCAGAAGGTGTCAAGGATTCAGCAATTGCCATGACCCTGAAATCTAAGCTGCACTTCCAAGGAAACAGTTGTGAAGCTGCAATAGGCTGTATTCTTATCAGGGATAAACGATCATTATACTGTACCACAGATCCTATTCTGTGATTATACACTTCTCTAGAAAACATTTTCAAACTATGTCTGTCATAACATTTTGTATGTTATTGCATATAAGATCTGGTTTTGATTATCAATTCAGGAAACTTTATAGTAAGAAGACATTGATTCCACACTTGTATGAAAGTTTGAGCGGAAACCGTAGCAATTTCCCGATTCCCTATGCAATTCCCCGATTCCCTGTACAACGCAGGCTTTTGGAAATGGCGGTCGTTCACATTATTTTAAACTCGTTGAAGCATTTGAATTTTTCTATTTTTTTATGCAGTTGGCACAAGACAGTCTGCTTTGTAGCTTCAGTACTTGAATCAAATTCCTTTAGATACTAGGCCATGGATATGCTTTTAGTAAATTTTCCCTGTTTGTTGATCGCACATACCATGAAATACTGAAAATCCAAGTTTAACTAATTGCAGACTTGACATTTTTGTTTTAAAAACTCCAAGGCAGATCCTGGGGCATGCACCATTAAAAATGTTTTTTCCTAGACGATGTTAATGCAATTTCTCTGTAATTTTTGAATAATAATTTTAAAAGTCTGTTGCAAATCCAACGTTAAGCTAACGTTAAGCTTAATGTGATAACATAAATAAAAAAGTACATAAAAATAGAATAAATTCTATTCAGTTTCTTAAAGGTACAGTTAGTGTTTAAAGCTGGACACGGATCAAAACAATATATTTTTTAGTGATGTAATTACGTTTTGCTAAGAAAATCCATAAATTTATCACCTAGCCATTTTTTGAGCCTGCAAAGGCATTTTTGAATAATATAATTTAAGCATCTCTTTACTGACAAAGACAATGATGTATACAGTATTTTACCCACATTGATTATACCAGCAAATGCAAGTTAATAAAATATTCATCTACAATAATAATTTTTTCATTTTGATTTTAATTGCAGAGAATTAGAAAGTCTCATTATAGTCTGCAATTTACTTGTTAGTTTAATATTAAATTTGCATTCACAGCCTAATCTTGCCATATGTTTTGTTATTCGCTGTTTACAAAACCATCCATGAGTACAATATAATGGGATATGTATCAAAACTAACTAAAAAATGAATTTGTATGATACAAAAAGTAAAATGACTGTAAGATCTTACTGTTATGCTGCACTGATTTTCTAAGCCTGTAAGAAAATCATTAATTTGTAAGAAATTATAGCAAAACACGTGGTTGAATATTGAATCGTCCACAATTTTTTACGGTACTCTATTTATTGCAAATTATAAACAATCAAATGACACATTAATTTGTGATTGTGTGACATAGGCATAAGAAATTCATGGATGGTTAATGATTGCCTTTAAAGCATAAATTAAAGCAAGGTTTGTTAATTTAGATGTTAATATTCGATCAACATATCTGCTGGTACACTTACAGGTAATTATGGATCTACTGTATGATATACATTAATGGTGGGGAAGATGCCTGACAAAGACCTGACAGTTTTCGGTGGATGCATGTCAGGGGCGGATCCAGAAATGTCCAAAAGGGGGGGGCCGGAAGCTGTCTCTTATACACATCTAGATGTGTATAAGAGACAGATCTTATATTTACACTCTCGGATTAAAAAAAAAATTACACTCATTCTCCTTTTTTCAAAATATTAGCACGGCAAACTAATTTTTTTTACTTTACCTAAAACAGATTTAAAACAGATTAAAACCGATTATTTGCAGAGCAACCAATGCGGGGCCGGGCCGGCCCCCCCCCCCCTAAATCCGCACCCTGCATGTGAATCTAGAAATTATGGGGAAACCCCCTTTTTTTGATGTGGTTAGATACGGTAGTGCCTTGAGACACTGGGAAATTTTGACCATTTTAGACTTCTCTGAGATGTTTTAAATGTACAGTATCATGCTCTAAAAATTTTAAAAAAAATATATCTGAGGGCGTGTTTCTGCTGAATAATGCCAAAAACATATGTTTTTTTTTAAACAGTTAAATTCCTTTGGAACGCGTTTCTAGAGAAAAGTGGGCGGAGCTTATAATGACGATCACCAATGGAAGTTAAGTTGAACTTAATGCATGCGAGCTACAGTGCATGCTGCGAAAGAAGTAAACAATATACTGCGAAAGTATAGACAAATTATGGTAAACCTCAAGTATGTCATCCTGTCAGTTTAATTTTTTTCTTCACCCCGAATTTCCCGCGGATGAGCGATCAAACCACCGAAGAGGTCAATTTGGGTCATGACTAACACGGTATTGCGTTGCAGCTGAAAAGTACCACAAAACACATGTTTTCTGAATGCCAACCCTATAACGAATGCGTGTTAAAATATGTGTTTTAGACTACACATTCCTAACCATGTTTTTGTTTTTTGGCCTGTTTCTGCTGTGGAAATAAACAAGTTTTTTAGTAACTGTTTAAAACATGTTTTTTTGCTCTGCAGAAACAGGCCCTCATAAGTCGTGGATGGTAGGGGCTTGGCCTGTCCAATGGGGCTGCTTACAGTAAAAGCCTTCCTTCCAATCCTTTCCCAACTTAATGCCACTGTTTTCTTTCCTTGTTATCTATGCTCTATATTGCTAACTGGACTCTGTTCTGATCAGTGATGGGTAAGAGGAGATTCTTGGTGTTTGGTACTGTAGACTATGAATATGATTCATTAGGTTAAGGTCCTGACAGCTTCAGGCAAATGTAGTGTTTATTGAAATTTTTTGATGTTTTGTTCAAGGATGTGGTGAACAAGATATGATAACAATCTTAATAAGTTTCTATTCCTCCTTATTTGCACTATCCAAACAATAGTCATTCTAATTTGCTTCCAATTATTCTCATTTATATTTATTAAACTATATATTTTTTTACACATTATTTGTGCCTCACAGATATATTATGGTTTTTAATATACATTTTCATTTTTATAAGTTTATGTTATCAAATATATAAAAGATCCTAACCCATGTTCACTTTATAAGATTTTAATACTATAAATTATATATCTGACTAGGAAATCTATCTTGCATATATCCAGACTTAAAGACACAGTAAACACAGTGTCTGAATCCCAGTTAATTTGATAGGAAATTGGATTACTTCATACACACTCTGTGTAAACTTGTTTTTATGGGGAAAATTCTATTGCACTTTTGCCCATGCTGGAGCATAGGAAGCTTACTAAGATGGACAAATAGTTGGCATATAGACAGACTTGAATTGATATTTCTGTCAAAATCTAGAAATATGGCCCCTAAATTGATCTGGCAGTTAAATAAGTTTTAAAACTTCAGTTGTCTGATACAATAGACTTCTAAGAATATTGTGTGTATTAAATTTGGTATGAATTAACTCCTCCATTGGATGATGAAGGTTTTTTTTAGAAACATCCAGATTCAAACCAAAACATTTTATAGTATATGATGAATGTTATATTATCCAATCTATGCAGATTAGTTATTGGAATTAGTTTTATTAATTAATATTTAATTACTTTGTAATCAGTTGAGGTTATAATTTATTGACCTTTTTGACATTTCTAATATTTACCATAGGCCTATATCCTTGTTTCCTATTCATGTACTTATAGGTATTTCAAACTAACAATTCAGTTCAATTTGTTATTTTTACATTGGAGCATGTACGTGCTATATAAATGTCACATCAACTTTGAGTCATATAGACATTGATTTCATAATTTTAAGACAACTAGCACTAATAATAATGATCCAATACATAACTATTTTATATTTTTTTCAGGACAATACATTTGATTGACACATGCTTGGCATGACAGAATGGAATGTTCAGACATCTCGTAAGTTTATATATTTTAAATTTTTGAGATAATATTAATCTATAATCTGTAAATAGTTAACATACATTTTTATAATAATTATAATAGATTGGATTTAAATGTAGTTCATATGCAGCATCTAGGAATTTAAGACCAACTGACAATGAGGTATAACATAGTTAGAAAGAAAAATAGAAGACTTAATTTTGGGAAAACATGTATGTTATATGATATACAGTATTAATATTCATATATAAAAAGTTCTGAAACAACAAAACATAATTCTTTATCAACAATTAAAAATGCATTTTAGAAATAATTTATTCATATGATAACACTCAAAAATGAATTATATTGATTTATTTAAGGCAGCTATTTTGAAAATCTAATATTACAGGTGACTGCCAAGATGGTGTCGAATAATATGCCCCCTAGGAAAATGGATTGTCTTAAAAGTTTCCAAAAATAGAAAAATCTTAATGTGAATTTCCAAATCTTCCTGATTAGTATACAGAACTGTTTTATTTTTTTTATGCCCTCTAAAAAAACATTGGGAGGAGATGCAAAAGAAGTGACTCCAAATTGTTGTAGCTATGATCAAAAAGTATAAAACTGCAAGAGGTTTCACTGCCCTGATTTTTTTTCAGCAAGGTATGCTGGCAATGGAACGCTAAAGTACTGCCACGAAATCGGGAACGCCCTTCAGAAATTTAGAAACTCATACACGTTGCTCGAATCTTTTAAAGGTCACACCCCTTCGTGAAAGTATTTTTTGCGTTCCAACGAATCCCTGGCAGTCGTACCTCATTTAGTTTTATACTCTTTGCTATGATTTAAGGTATGTCCACACTATCAAATTGGAGTCCCCAGTAGAAGTGGTTTGATGCAGCGGGAACTTTTTGGTTTCCCAACTTCGAGGTCAGAGTTTTAATCCCAAGCTTCGCATTTCACTTGTGTCCTTGAGGTATGAATGAGTACCTGGTAAGGTTAAAATGCAAAATGTGCTGATTATAGCTGCTGCAACTTTGTGGAATACTCACCGTTGAGCTGAGTTTGTTCCATAGGTGTTTAATATAATGACTAGGGTAATGATAATTCGAAGCGCATAACTCACTATTTAAGTCTACCATTATTATTATTATTATGTAGTCGTAATGTGCCTATATATTTTCATGATGTAAAGCCGTCATGACTATACAGTATTTTAGAATGTCAAATGTTAGTCAAATAAAATGTTATAGTCAGGACAAGTATACTTCGTGAATACTTATATTATTTATTACAGAAATTACTGGAAGCGACACAGAAGAAAATAGCCACTTAAAGTGCATTAAACAAGAGATGTCTGGCATGAAGTCTAGCAACATGAATGGTGCAGGCACAAACAAGGCCGATGGTTTGAGGGAACGCTTATCAAGGCGACATACCATGGACAATTTAGGAGACCAATTATGTCCCAGTACAAGGGCTTTTCAGAGAATGCAGCCCACAGATTCTAATCTAACCCTTGATTCAGACCTTTCTTCCGAACCTCAAAATAGTCGGACACTATGGAATTTGAATTCCAGTGTAGAGAACGACAAGGAATACATCATGAATCAGAAACTGATTGATGTGGAAGCATCAAACCGAGCAACACGCCGCAGTGGTGTGACAAATTTCACCTCTGGATTGGCAGACATCAAAGAGTCTTCTTTTGATTCTGATGTTGAAAAGATGCCAAGATCCACACCGCCTCCATCGCCGAAGTCACCGATCATAAGAAGATCCTCTGATGGATTTTTTAAGCAAGTTTCCACTGAGGTCCATGCTAAACTAAAACGATCAAAGAGCTCACAAGGTAATGAATTTTCAAATTTTGTTTTTCCAGATTTTTTTCTTATTAACTTTATATAACTAAATTTATTAGAAGTATATTTAATGAGGGTGAACCATCCACCACATGTTGATAATTTGGGACCCTCAAGTACATACGATATTGACTATGAGTACTGTATATAAATGACGCATTATTATTCATGTGTAGGAGCGTGTGGCACAGCGTGGAAGTTGTTGGATTTCTGGTCGGGAGTTCGAGACCGACGCTCGCTGCACTGCTTGTGTCCTTAGGCAAGCCACTTTACTTACATTTGCCTCTCCGCACCCAGGAGTATAAATGTAAGGGTCATGCTGTTAATCTGCTCGTTGGTGACCCTACTACGACTACTCTAGTCAAATTAATTACAGCTACTAGATATCAATTGACATCATACGAGAGAGAGGGGAAAAAAAATTATTCCTGTGTAAGATTAATATAAAAAGCAAGTATGTTCCTCTCCCACAGCTGCCCTTTCTACTCATCATCCATCTTCTTAAAGGTGGGCATTCACTGCGTTTAGGCCATTGCAGACATTGTGGCATTGCTTTCTCCATAAAATTGCATCGGCCGAAGACCATTGGTCACAGATAGTGTCCTGCTTAAAAAAACAATCAAACTTAGAGGATTGGCTTTGACTAGAAATAAGTTGCTAAAAAACGTGTATGTCTATTATGGGGAAAAATTATCTGATTTTAGCCAGCATTTCTTATAGTATTAAAATTTGGGGAGGGATTTTTATCAAATTTCTTCTCCATTTACTACGATTCGAAACCTCTACTTTTAAATATGTGACATGCTCTTTGATGCATTATTAGTTATATTGTCAACTGATGCAGTCATCCTTGCAGAATAAATGTACCTGTTTACTGGATTATTTACCGACATCTGCGAATGTGAGTCAGGTTTTCCTGAAAATGGAATCAAAACTGAAATAAAATACTTTAGATGAGATGAACATTGTGGCTAAAAATCACATACAGAATTTAACAACCACGAGGGCGACAAACAGATTTTTTTTTAAATCAGAACTATGGCTCAGAAATATTTCATTTCATTTCATTTATTCGCCTCATCATCAAGTAACAAAAATAGACAGACAAAATCAAAGAAAAAAGAGTCTGCTTCCAAAAAGAGATTCAAGATCTCTGTCAAGTGGTTCGCCAAATTTCACAAACACAATTTAAAAAGCAATAGAAAATATAAACATTAAAATTTCATATAAATATACTATACATTGATTATTGTAATAATAATAATAATAATAGTAATAATAATTAAAATAATTCATGAAAGATTTTTTTTTTAAATATTAAAATAGACATTTCAAGTACACAATAATAATAAAGATAATAATAACAAGCAAACATGCCAAGACCGAACACAGGCTCAAGTCTCCTGAATAAGCTCTTTAAAAGTTTATTTAAAGAAGGCCCAAAATTATATTTCTTGCAAGTACAATTCTTTACAATTTTTGATTATTTAGGTATAAGTACGTATGCAGCTCGGAGAAAAGCCCTTACAAGAACCATCCAGGAATGGGTCAACTCCATCGATAGAAGTCCCCACCCTGAGGAGGATGACAATGAAGCCCTGTCTTTCCTTCCTGTCGGAGATTCACCAAAGCAGGCTAACACATCATCGTCTGAGGAAAGTAATGATTTTGATGGTAAGCAAGCTGTATTACCTAAGCAATCGACCTCAAGCCAACTGGAACAGGAATCCTCATCAGGACATATTACAGGTAAGAACCAAAGAAGGAGTAAATGAACTTAGGGAAGCTTTAATAAGGTTGTAATTCTGTTAAAGTTACTATGAATAAGAAAGTGAATATAAGGCCCAATTAAAAAAAAAATTAGTGTATCACCCTTGCGTGAATGTCTTCTATGGTACTGAGAAAATATATATATTTTTGGAAAAAAAATAGTAGATATTGTGTGTAGTATCTCAGTCATGTTTTACTTTCAACGTCAATGCACAACCCAATGGTGATATTTGGCTTTAGCAATATAAAAAGCCTTCCTCCCTCCCTTATCATTTTCTAGCCTAAACTAATAATTTTTTTATAGGGCCTAATGATGATTGGAATGACAATATTGATTATCATACAGTAACAGATCTATGTACTCTACAGTATTTGTTGGCCCATACCCAGCATGAGTATTGAGTGAAGGGATCAATTTATACCCCGGATCTTACTTTGTGTACAGGGAAAGGTGGAGGTCCATTTTGTTTTATAGAAGTCATGAAATTTGAATTAGCAACATTGTGGGAAACTTTGTTTAAACAAGGAAATAAAGCAGTATCTAGGTTTAGGAATGCCAAATAGGTCCTACATCATGAATTTAAACTTATACCAAGCAATTGTAAACAAACACTTCATTGTATTTTATTACACTTATCAAATTCCTTCCAATTGCTACTTTTGGTTCATGAGGGAATCTTCTGTCCCGCTGATCTCCGTCCCCGGGGTTAAAGGCCTGCCATTTGTATAGTGGTTTCGGGACAATGTACTGTATGATTTCTTCTTATGTTAGCTACAAACAGTAAACACAGAATAACACACTGTCTGTACTCTTGATAGAGGGCAGCAGTTTGCTCAAACCTTAAATCAATACCACCTAATCGGGTTGACCAACAATTAACCTATATAGGATAAATATGTAGGTAACAAATGAGATTACAAAAACTCAATGGGAATAACGATGCAGTTTAATTGATGCACGAAGTAGTACTACGTAATATTATATCCAAATTGAAATCACTGATTAATCATAAAGAGTACTTTGTCTTCACATAGACTAATAAACATGTTTTAATAATCCAATTTAAGCACACAATTTGATAAAATTGGCCAATAACTAGAGTTAACAGAGGTTCAAGATAGAATTTCATTGGTCCAATTTGTAATTACGTTTTAGCTGCAATAAGTATTTAATCTATATACATCTTCTCAAGTATTAAAGTGATGGATAAGTTTCTAAAACTTAATGAATAAAGGTGTTACTAGAGATACGGATAACTTGTTACTTAATGGCTAGGGTGCCCACATTTAAATATCAGGATCATGGGTTCAATCCAAATGAAGCTCATCTTTATTAATCTTCAAAGCTTTAATTCGTTCACAGCATTATCTATAGCAGGGCAATATATTTTGTGGCTGATTATTAACCCACTCTTCAGCTTGTGCCATCAATGCATTGAAAATTTTTTTTCTAAATGAAAACTTTATTTTGAATTACATGATAAAAGTTTTTTTTTTTTTTTTTAAGCACATTGAGTTTTAGGTATAATATTGAGATTTTGGTATAGTATGCTATATGAAGCCCCATTACATTTCATTACTTATAATGTAGTGTACCTTTAAGCACAGGTACTAAAATGTGTATTAATGAGACAGGCGTATGGTTTGCTTAATTACACTAGCATTATTGTATTAAGTTTCAAAGTATTGATAGTGTAGTTGTAAAGTCAACTGTTATAAGTACTGTGCCCTAAATCCATGTAGTGTGTACGTCAATACCTCGCTACAAACAGACTTAACAACCATACAAATATACCTAGGAGGCTATTTCGCGCATTAAAATTGAGATAGAATGCCCATTCTATAGAAGTTGATTGTCTTCAACGCAATAGAATTGTGATAAAAAACCTCTTCTATAGAATTTGATTGTCTTTTGCAAGAGTCGCAGTGCATTTTCAATTGGATGTATATCTGCTTTTATTTTTCATTATAAATGCCGGTATAAGGTACGGTAAATTCAATTTTTTATATAATTTAAGCAATTAGCATGTTCTAAAAAACAGTTACTTTAATTTCATAAACAATAGAAATTAGATTTTACTGCCTAGTGTTGATTCAGAAGTTATAAATTAATAAAGTGTGTGTACATGCTAAAAATAGCATACTGATAAGCATTATTGTTATGGTTTGTAGATAAAGCTAGTGTTACCTACAGTAGTGTATGTGCGTATCATGCATACACACAAGTTATCAAAAGCCAACTTGCATGTGTAACATATGTTACAAAGGAGGGATATAATTATTTAGGCTGACTTCCGAGTATTTGTGGCTAGAAAAAAACAGAATGTAAGTATATGTAATTGACTAATTGATATAAACTTATAATTAAAATTAATTAGGAATTTATATGTTAAGTTTACTAGAGTAGGTAATTTGGAGATTGCCATCCAAAAACCAACACCAGTGGCCAAAAAATGAAAATTAACTTTTTAATATATTTTTTATTTTGCACATTAAAGCTTTGAAATGGTAATGTCACTTACTGGAATCGACTTACTGTTGTTGGGTCTTAGATTTTTAAAAAATGATTCCAATGACGATATTAAACTAATAAAAATGGACAATTAAATTTAATAATTAAATTGTTTACTTTGTTAATTAATTTGTAAATAAAATTTTTTCCTCACCAATGTACTGTACTTGTTTCTATTTTAAGCTTTCAAAACTTAGGATAATGATTTCTGGCATTCAGTATTGTTTAATATCACCTCTGTATTGGTATAGCAACATTAACTTTTGTAATGAGCAATTGCCATTTTGATATCTTGACCTGCCGTAGCTGATCTATTGAGCCCGAAAAGGGAATGGTTCTTAGTTAAATGTGGAAATCATTTTCATAATAATGATACATGATTAACAGTGAAAGCTGGAGTGCAGATTCAGAGCCAGCATCATTATGCTTCCTGTATACATTACTTATTTTTATGGAGTTCATAGTAGATATTTGATGTTACTGCCTTTAATAGTAGCTCTGGCTATCAATCGCTAGTTACAAGCTGTTGATACAGGATATGGAGAGAGAAAAGTGCTAAGCTTTATGTGTAAGATATTGCTATTTTGATTGTTCGTGAAATCCTGGTTCATAGATAAAGGAGCGTTTGTTTAACAGTCGTCATTAGAGTTCAATGATCTCCTACAGGTAAAATGTTGACCAGTTGCATGACTGAATTTTTTTTCGAGATTTAACATTCTACAAAATTTTATAATAAAGCAATATTTTGGGTATCTCAATAGGCATGTTGAAAATGAAAATTAACTTTTTAATATATTATTTTGCACATTAAAGCTTTGAAATGGTAATGTCACTTACTTGAATCGACTTATATTGCCAAAGTTATGAGTAAAAAGTATTATGGCTTTTCTGTACTGAAGTATACAATACTGCCTCATTCTTATGGGAATTTATTTACAATTGCAATTGTAACAAAAATATATAATACTTTTTGACTAGGTAATTTGTGAAATTTTGCCTCACTGTTTTGCTTTTCGTCAAGAGTCACTGAGCCTCGAAATAGCACGTTATAATTTGCAAGTGCCATTTTATTTTTATTTATTAATTACTCAGTTTAACAATTAGCGACTGTATGCTGGTTTTGGAATAGCAAGCCTCATTTGTATGATGGTTTTCCTTGGGTCTTAGATTAAATAATAATTATTCCAATGTCTATGTTTAAACTAATAAAAATGGACAATTAATGCTTCCTGTATACGTTACTTCTTTTTATGGAGTTCATAGTAGATATTTAATTTTACTGCCTTTAATAGTAGCTTCTGACTATCAATCACTAGTAACAATCTGTTGATACATGACAAGAATGTGGCACAAAATGTTGAAACATTTATTTGTTTTATTGAGAATTCTTCAGGATATTTGCATTTCACATATCATAATATGAATGAGTATGCTAAATCTTGTGAATATGATTGGTATCCGATGATGGTATCTGGATATGTTACATTATAGGAAAAACCACAAAGGTTTTTAAAAAAATTGTCGTTCATGGCTGTGATTGACTGCGTCTACAATCTGCGTACCAACACAGGATATGGAGAGAGAAAAGTGCTAAGCTTTATTTGTAAGATATTGCTATTTTGATTGGTCCTGAAATCCTGGTTCATAGATCAAAGAACGTTTATTTAACAGTCGTCTGTTAAAAACAAAAACACATTTGACTACATGATTATGCTGTAAACATAAACATCAGACAATAGCTGGTAGACATTTTTTAACTGTTTTGCATCTCATGCCAGAAAAGGTACAGAAAAGGATATTCTGTTTTGTCAATGTCCCATACAAAAATGGTACAATGCCTGTCTGTTGATAAAAAAACAAAAACAGTATGAACTTTTAAAATTGAATTGAATCCTTGACTGTAACTCCACAGAGACTAGCTTTTTATAGTGCTTGTCAATATGGTTGAGTGGTTTGTTGAACAAGTTTTGTAAACACCTGATTTTTGTGGTATTTTGCTGACTTAAATATGGTCATTAGAATTTAAATTTTGTAGTACTTAGTACTGAATTAAGCGAGTAGGAGGCACTTCTAAAATATGGCATCTAAAGGTATGGAATATACTTGTATTTTTTTAACAGAGGTCGATTTTATGGCGTGAGCCCCTGAATCAATTATCTCATGTAACTTAATGGGTACCGATACTGGTCTTTGTAACTGTGATACTAGATCACATATGGTGGCTTGATTGTATACAGTTAGCGCTTGTAGACACCACTCCTGGTTTACAATTCAGTAGGAACAAATGTTGATGAATTTACACAAGTTCACGATACACAACGCTTTATGTCCAATTTTTTCAATTCAATTTTTATTGCTGCGTGAGCCATGATGAGAAGCGTTGCTGTATAGTATATATAGTCATTCATGATTAATTTCATCGTAAATAATACGTACTAGAGACTTATTGGTTTACTTTTTTGATACTCAGGGCATCAGAGTCGCGTAACAGGAGAAAGCGAGAGTTGCTCTCCTGGAGAAGAATTAAAACCTTTGGCCAGTAAACCTACCACCAGTAAGCCAACCAGTCAACAGCAGGTGAATAACTTCAGGTAAGAACACCTGTTAAATATCAATTAATTAATTAATTAATTAATTAGTCATTATTTCATAGTTAAATTACATTTTGTTTATACTATGTTTAATTAAAATTATATCTACAATATTTCATTTAGAATCATGTAAAAGTACCCACTGTGAGATATTCTATTGGGGAGATATTGAAAGACCTTATGGTATTTAACATTGTACCATGCATATTGTCATGATGTGCTCTTTTATTATACTCCTGTGATTTGATCAAACATTTTGGAACATCCCATAATATTACAGCAGTTTAATATCAGTGCATTGGTGCTTGGATATTCTGGGTGCACTCTTGTACTCTTGAGTAGAGAGAAACAACCATAGGTATAAAGTGACTTGCCCAAGGAACGAAATTCACAGCAAAGTTTCTAACCCCCAACCTTAATGTTGAGATCCAAAATCACAACTGCTGCACCATCCGCTAATTATTATTGTCATCAAATATAAAAATATAAAATGAACAAACATTAATAACATGCACATACTATGTACAATACAATGTTCAAGTAGATGCTAGGCAGGATTGCTCAAAATTCAACTGTGTCATTGTCAGAACAAAATTCAACACAAATACAGTGTTTTCTTTCCTTCCCCTTCTGGATTGCGTGTGTAACGAGATAATCATATTCTTTAAATATATTTATACTATGAACTCAATAACAACATATTTGATTAATAACTAGCATATCTATACTGGCTTTAGCCTTGAGAATTTAAAGATGACATAAAATACTATTGAGGCTGTTCAAACTATAAATCAACAAGAAAACAGCAATACAAAAAGCAGCATTGTGAAATCCCTAAGGTCCTGTTCAATGGCAGTGGGAGTGAAACATAGCAATTTTATTTGACCTTTATTTTTATTATATTTCAATGATAATTATGTATTAATTTATGTATCCCATCATTTTGTTGCTGTCTCAAGCAGCATGATGCAATATTGGTATTATTGGCCACACAATCATGACAGCATCTTGTTGCCTTTTTATATTTACGTTGTAATATTGTTATTATATTTTCTTTGACAAAATAAATGAAATAATTATGTGACTAAAATATTACCAAAAACAATTAATGTTGTATCTATATAGAGCATTTATCAAGTTTTTTTTTTTTTTTTTTTTTTATTAATATGTGTATGTTGTTTATGCTCTATGGATGTTTTCCTCCACAAGGAATGCAGTGATACAGTTTTAATGATTTCAACATAAATAAAAAATAATTATTATAATTACTTATTGTTTGAATGATGTTGACAGATTAAAAGGATTGATTCTTCAAAAACATCCATTTTTTGCTAACCTACAGATTGATTATTTTAGTATTCACCAGTAGTTTTATACCAGTAAAATAATGTAAACAATAAAAATGATACTGAATTTGATGTAAGGGTAGGTTAGTGCAACAAATCAAATGTGGACAACTGCAGGAACCAAACTAGTGAATTTCAAGTACTGTACCATCTACCACCTTATATTTGGTTATAAAATTTATCAATGTTTTCATATTATATTTTTTATAATTTTATTTCTTGTATCCTAAAGTGTTTGACATCAATTTCTTTTTTAGTAAACCTGTTGATACACAGTTTTCAAATTCAGATTTGATAATGATGGCATCACACTACCGTCAGGAGCATGGCCAATCGCCAATCACCAGACGTCAGCGACTGCTTCATATGGGTGTTAGCCAATCTTCTGAGATGTCTACAAGCAGCACATGGTCCCAGAGCAGGTATACTTCTTAAAGTTTAAATCAAAGTCAATATTTATCCTTTAAAGTCAGGCTTCAGAGGGAAAAAATTTGTTGATATGTTGTACAACTGATTTTTCTAAAGACACATAAAGAATATTTGACGAAAAACTTTGGGAACAGTTAATGAGATGCAGATTTTTTAATATTTAAAAAATGGGGGAAAAGGTGGAAAAGATAGTGGTTACGCCTTTTTTCCGCCAGTTTTTGAATATTCTAAAACCTGTATCTCAATTGTTTTTCATTAAAATATGCTTTTTGTGTCTTAGAAAAATTAGTTGTGCAACTTTCATCTGTTCATCTGGAGTCTGACTTTAAGAAAGATGTTTTAAATAGCTTAAAATTTCAAATTGTACCTGAAAATGATTATAAGGCCATAAATTATATTTTGTGTGTTGTCAAGCAAACTGACAATTTAGAAGGCAGGGCCAGTAAAGTGGGGATTTTTTTTTCTTTAGATTATGCCTGGGACTATTTCTAAAGTTAATGGCTCACCATCATCGACCCCATGTATTCTGGCCTATAAAATGTTAATCAATTGAGCTAAAAATCTATGGTTAAGATTTCTAATTGATTATTAAATGCTTGAAAAGGAAATTTTTCACAAAATCTCTTTGGAGATAAAATATATTTTTGCCAAAAAAAAGTTTACCACAACCATACATTTTTAAGATTAAACATTATTTTTTTGCCTGATATGTGTGATTATTATTTTAACATATAAAATTCTATTTAATAATTGACTCTAAGAGAGTTCCTTAGTATAGCTGCTACAGTGTCTGCATTCATAGGCTAATTTTAAAGGGTTGGGAGTCAAGCATCAACCAAGAATCTATATGTTTTGAAACCTGATGTTTCGTTTTGAAACCTGATGTTTTCAGATGTTTAAATTATTATTTTTTTCTTTTTTCAAGTTGCTTAGATGAGATTTTGAAGAACCGAAATGACCCAGAAGAAGTTCTTTTGGACCTTGGGTTTGGCACAGGAGAACAGGAATTGATTGACCGTGTACCCACACGATTCTATTCAAAACCCTCAAAAGCACGTGGCATGAACATTGGTCAGTTTCTGACCAATTGTCATGAACAAGAAATAAGAAGCTATGGTGAGTTTTTTTGAAATAACTCAAATCCAATAACAAATAGGATTACTTTTTTACCGGATTTCTTCTATTAAGTTAAGTGTTTTTTTAAATGGTATATATATATATATACTGTATCTTAATAATTTATTTTCTTGTTCTGAATTTGGAAAGTAATACTAACCTATTGAAAAGCAATTCATATGTTTTGTAGTTTATGTGCCTGTATATCTTTAAGTTGTTTAATCTAAAAGTAGTTTTGGTTCTTGAAATAAATTCAATAGTACTAATAAATAAGATTTTCTTGCTTTTTAAATGTAGATGATTTGAATATAGGAGGTGGATTTCGAAGTATTGTTGGGATCTTGCAACGTTCTCGTGAAGGGCAAGCAAGAGAGCAGAAGATGGCACAGAGGATGAGGAAAAGGAGTGTGGTGAATGCTTGGAATAAATGGCTTAACAGAACAAAAGTCACTGAAGGCCAGAAAAATGATGTTGACTCTAATAATGTTGCTGCAGACATGTCTGTCGATAAGAATGTGGATCAAAAGGAAACAGAATTACAGGATATTCAGATTGGGGCTTTAGATTTAGGACAGATTGGTTCCAATAAAGTTGTTGAGGATATAATTACAAGTTCTTCTGTTCAAGCTTTGCATCAAGAACCAGAATTGATTGTTGATGATTCAGAAAAAGAATCAGTTTCCCAACAAGAAAAGGTTTCAGATTATATGGACTTGGAAAAACAATCTAAGGTTAAGGATGGACAGCACTGCGTTCTGCCTCTACCATCAGCGATGGAAGATTCCGAGGGATCTGTTGCATCAAAAAAGAGCTCCTGCAGTACCATAGAAGGTGATTCTGTAGGATCCACTGTAATTAACAGAAGAGATGTCTGGTCCAGTTATGACAAGCCAGAAGAAAGCAGTTCGCAAGATGTTTTCAAAGATTCATTGGTGCAAGATCATAGCGTTGATAATCTTGTAGATATTCGTAGTGTGAAAGACACAAAGGATCACTTGAGACGGCTGCCTGGACATTTCTTCAGTAATACACCGCAGGAATCATTTGAGTTCGAAGAGGTGTGTAGAGTTTTTTTTTTTTTATTCATTCTGGCAAAAAAAAATATAAAAACATTACATTATTCATCATATTTGTCATATGTAAATCTGTTTATTTGCAGTTTGTCATACCAACATTTGGTTCTCAATGTTTATGGCAAATAATGGATGATGATCCATAAAACATACCTATCAAATGAATTTGTTTCATGTTGTCTAACCATGTTTTGTTAAGCCAAATTTTTCTCATTAATCATTGTGGTGACATGTTAGATAGGGTAGTTTGCCATTGATTGCCGAAAACAGCAATGAGTTGACAATGGCTGAGATGATTTAAATGACTTTGATGATACATTTATAGCTACTTTGACACTGACATGCCTGGCCATCCCTACGTACAATTCTATTGTAATGATAGGTTTTAGATTGATCTACAACCCCATTCTCAGAACTAGATAGTTCGTTCTGACCCGTATTTTGTTAGAATGGCAGAATTCAAACAGCTTCATGAAGTTAGGCATGAAAAAAGTGAAGTTATTGTTACAACTACCCACTGCATTGCATTTTACACTTGCCTCTAACTACTTGAATGCAGTTTAGTTCAGTTATGCATCACTGCACATGATGACATTTATCCAAGGATAGTTTGTATACTGCAGGTAGCATCTTTTCACACAGGTGTAATGGTTGGTCTATTCTTGAAATATCCTAGCATGAATAGGCTGACCTTCTCTTTTATGTTACAGTATATTTGATCAAAGCCTAGGCTAGTTCACAAATCTCCTTTTACGCAGAAGCAATGCTAGGTCTGTCCTAGGGATGTCTTCGAATATCACCCCAAAATTTTTTCTTTGGGAAAAGGGGCTTATTTAATACTTTTCCCTTTTATTTATTTTTTTTTATTGTTATTTTATTATTAGGTTTTAGGGGTACTAGAAGTTTGATTAGGTTGGGGTATGCAAGGTTATTAGGACCTGTGGAGTAACGTCCATCCACTGGATCCTTAGTTTGATTATGGTGGGGTATGCAGGTCACTGTAATTCCTTTGAAGCATGCATTCATTTTTTGTCTTTTATATTTGTACTGTATTTTTTTGGGCAGATAATAATCTTTGATGGCTTACGTAGCAATACAAATTGAATGAATGAAGTCAGCTTAATGAAGTTAGATAAAATTATTATTAGATCATTTAATTATTTTTGTAGGTATCAACTGCCTCTGAGATGATGGAAGATGAAAAACAGGCTGTAGAAAGAGCAAGTGCAATGAAAGGTTTGCTACCCTTTCTTCATATTAAATATGTATAAGTTTTAATTGATTGAAATGAGTGGAATTATTTAATATTTAAGGTGATTCACTTTTATTATATGAGTGGCATCTTATATCTTGTTTTGAAATTTAGTTACACATACACCACATGTCATTAAAATTTTGTTTATATTTTCATTTCCGCCTGAATGCCGTTGGCAGAACCATTTCGCTAAATGAGAAAATAAATTTTTCCTTCTCTGAGGATCTTTAAAAAATGAAGTTTGGTACACATGGTGTAAAAAATTTCTTACCTTACATGGTGTATTTCTGTATTTTGGGAAGTAACATTATGTAATCAAAATTAATGATAATGTATTTTTTAAAAGCAAAAGACTACTTATACAAGTATTTTAATTTTTAGCCATGACTTAAAATATTGATTATTTTATTTTCACTAATTTAGGTCAACTGAGCCGTGCAGGGAGTGCGCAATCAGATAGTAGCGGTTTCGCAGATGATTTAGTGGAAATACCAGTCATGAGTCTGCTGCCCCCAGTGCTTGATGACAATGATGATGAGATTGTTTATGTTGATGATAAAGTTGTACAGACAAATTTCGAAGATTTCCCCAGTAAGGAAGAACGCAGATCAAATTTGATTGTCAGAGAAAAGTATGACTCCTTCATTGAGGATAGTCCGTTTGACGACAACTGTCCAGAAATTACTCCACAGCCAAGAGGTCGTAGTGGTACGTTTCCAAGACCATCTGAAAAAGCTCCATGGTCAGCAGACCATCCACGGTCAGTCGTAGAAATTCTAAAAACGTTAAAAGATAACAGCGAAGTGGATGCATTGACATCAAAGGAGCAAAGTCATATTGAGAACAGTGCAAGCGTTCCTCCTAAACGACCGCCTCTTTTAAAGTTGAAGTCTGTGTTTTCTGACTACCCAGAAGATTGTCCAACTCAACTGGCTTTCAAGGATTCAACTTTTAAACCAAGCAATTCATCTCAACTGCCTTCCATTGATTCAACTGATCAACAAAGCAATTCCAATATGCCTTCCATAGATCCAAATTTTCAAGAATGCAATTCATCTCATTTGCCTTCCATAGATACATCTGTTCAGCAATGTAATTCATCTAATTTACCTTCCATAGATACATCTGTTGAACAAAGCAATTCATCTCATTTGCCTTCCATAGATACTTTTATTCAAGAAAGCAATATTTTACCAGAAAATGCACAATTAGAGTACAGCAATTTTGAATGCCATACTTTAGATAGTAGCACAACACTATCACCATCCCTGTCTGAACTAGATTCAACCGGTATGGCAACTCCTGTAATATTTGCTGAAGATGATTACACAAATGAACCTTGTGGAGAACCATGTGACCAAACAAGTTTAACAAACGTCAGTGATGACTTACAAGAGACAAAAACAAATGTAACATCCACTTTGGAAGTTTATTTTAGAGATGACCATTGTGGCAATGTCATTCCCAGCAATGAAACTCCCAATCTGGAGTTAACATATTCAGATAGTGAACATAAGAAAGTTTGTTGTGATTTAAGTGATTGGATTGGCAGTGTGAAATCAGGTGATATCCGACCACCAATAAATGAAATGGAATTCAGTAATGCCAAACAACAGGTAGATATTTAGAAACCATAATTTTTTTGATAACAACACCTAATACCAAACTTTCCGTTTAGTTTTTCATTCGGCTTGCTCAGTGTAACCTAACAAACTCCAATCCCCCTTTCTCTCATTGTTATTCTGTCTTATCATTTATTAATTCAGTGTTTCCTTAAACTGAAGAAAAGCTTCTGTTCTTGCTGTTCTGGTATATATCAAAAGACAAAGAAACAAAAAATATTGCAATAAATAAATTGCCAATGTTTCCTTATCAGTACACCCTTAATATAATAGAATCATCCATCTCAGCATTTTTCTTAGTATTTATTAATAATAATAATATTATAGAATTTAAAAATTACGGTGTATATATACTCATGAAAATATGCTGTCTGTGTTAACAGGGGAAGATTCAGAGAGCTCATTCAGTGCAGGGGGAAAATAACTTTTTGGAAAAAATATCCAATGTTACCATACTTTAAGCAAAACAACCTAAGGAGAATCTATTATACAATAAGCAAACACCTGAATTTGCAATGAAAAAAGACCACTGAATTATAAGCATTACACATTAATTGAATGCATATAGATATTGTGATTTTAAGTGTTTTGGTTTTATTTATTTTCATCCTAGATGGCATTTCAAGATATATTACTCCTTCATAGAGCAATTAGTAGTTATAAGTTTGAGCTTGTTGAGTTGGAAGGGTTATCAGACAAGATTTACCAAATGGTGCACAGTCACTTGACTCTTAGTGAAAGGTATAGTAATTTGCTTTTGTCAAAGATAGAGCTGAACTCCAAAAATAGTGGGACAACATCCGGGTTCCCCGGTTTCTTCCCCCCCCCGACCCCATATTGGCGCCCTCCCTTATTATTTATTTACTTATTAGGTTTGTTTTCCTGTTAGTTTCTCCACTCCAAATAGTCCCCTGCTTGAAGGAGGGTTGACGTTCCATCAGTTTTAATACAAGCTGCCCGAAGAGCTTATTTTTCTCCTATATAAGTTCATCGCTTTTGTGTCCATTACAGTAAAACACCTCTTGTGGGACACCCCTTCTTAAGGAAACACACTTTCAGATGCAAAGCTAGACAAAATATCTTTTAACACTATGTCCAAACCCTAATTTGTTGTATCTCTAATAAGGGGACACTTTTATTGGTTTTGATTGTGGTGGGGTACAACTCTGCATATTATATATAAGATGACTGTTTCTTATTTTAGTCTTATTCTTTGTGATTTACTGTACTGTTTTTTGAGCAAAGTTCTGTCTATGAGACTTTTATAATACTGTAAAAAATTGTGATGTCAACCAAGTGCGTACTCACCAAATTTTCTTTTCAATTCTAGATTTGAGTTAAGTTCTCTAAAAAGGTTGCGTCTCCAAGTAATGGATGAGGTCGAGTCTATTGAAAGCCTGCTGGTCAGGCTGGCACATACTATCAGTAATCATTATGAGGTAATTAATTGTCCTAATCTTAAATTTATTTCTGAAATTTGTATCTCTTATACTATATCCTGTGTCTTATATTGATTCACGCATAACAAAATGTTAAATTTTAATGGCTAACTTTTTGTATTTAATTTCAGGTTGAAGATTTTTCAGGCACGTACAGAAATGCACTTGACCATTTGCAAGTGTTGAAACAGATGATTAACTTGCTTCAGGAACAAAAAATGTTGCGGGAATTACTGGGAAGTTTGGAAGTAGAGTACCGGATTGCCTATGGAAGCGTAGTCGACGAACATCCAATGCCGTGGACAGCTGAAAGGGCTCTGCTTATTGAGCAACTGATGGATTTGAAAGCTGGATTAGATCGCCAACATCAGTCATCGCAGACGCAGTTTGCATCATCTTTACAAGAAGTAAGAGAATATTAAGAAGAATATCACCTACCTATTTGAAGATTGCTCTATGATTTGTTCATAGTAGTGTCTGTCCAGTTGTTTAAGATGCTGTTAACGTATTAAGGAACTCATTTTTAACCTACTCTACTAAGTTATTTTCAGCTATATGGAGATTTGTTCTATAAATTTAGCCACATAGGTTAAGGATAGCCAATTTAAAGTTTCCAACATAATTTTCCTTGACCGAACACAGCTAACAAAAGATAAATATATAAGTTTGGTGGGAATTGAACTATTTATTTACTTTAATATGTAGTTAGCAATTCACATCTACACTAAAATAGAATAAAATTGGTTACGATAACTGTAAAAAAAAAAAAAACTTTTGCAATACCACGCTAAGGGATGATACAGTACATTTAAATTGTATGTGTAATTTTGTTTCTTTTCTTAAGATGAAGCACGATCTATTAGAACAATTAAGAAATGATGTGTTGGAAGAAACTGAAAGTTTGAGGTCTCAACTTAAGGTATGTAAACTCATCTAAAGATTTATGATGTGATGAAATGAATTAATTTTCGAATTTTAAAGGATCAAATAAGTAATCAACTGCCAAAGAGACACTAATTTACAGACTTTTACTATGAACATCCATAAATTGATCACCAGCAATTTTAAAGGTCTATGATACTGTTATTGGTAAGGAAACAATATCCATTCCAATTTTTTATTTTAATGATGATGCCCTCAAAAATGTAATTATTTCAAGTTTTTGCGGGTCAATATAGACAGTCTATAATTGATTACTTATAATATATCAAAACAAATTATATTTCGTTTTTTCAATTTTTGCAGCTTAAAGAGACTGAAGTGGAAAACTTAAAAAGGCAACTACAGACTGGTTGTGATGGTAATATTAACCAATCAAATATCAGCTCTCATGTCACGTGAAAACCTGTAACAGCTCAAGGCAATTTGAGGATATGAAGGAACCAATCAAGAATTAGCTCTCATGGCATATGTGGCAGTTAAGCTTGCATTTGAAAATAACATTCCAGGCAAAATGTGTCACATATAAAACCTGATGAAGTATTGACCAATCAGAAACCTGTAATATCATTGAGATATTGATTGATTTAGATCTGTAATTTAATGTATTTTAATGGCATTTTAAAGAACAAATTAATTAATTATGCCATGGTTGGATACTAACCTACATGTTTAATTATGGTTTATCAAATAATTGATGGATCACTAATATTGACTTTTATAAAAACAATTAAAAAATTAAAACAGATACTAATAATATTGAATTTTTATACAGTGGTTTTATAAGATCCTAATAATACTATAATATTATCACTTGGTGTATATCAATTTAGCAAACACACACAACATTCAGCGTTTTACACTATCTTTGAATATTCCTAGTTCTGCAGGGATGCATGTCACAACAATCTTTGAGGTACTGCTCTTCCTGTGTGAAGTGAAACGTACATAGATGTAAGCCTTGTTGAAGGATAGGCCTATGGTGTAAAGGATTTCATACACCAGACCTCAATATCCAGGTCTTTAATTGCAACCTCTTTGATATCCACTCCCACAAAATTCATCATTTTGACCTCACTTATGGCAATGTGTCAAATGTCACAATTTTATTTATTAGTTAACCAATGATTAATTCTTATGGATTGTAGAATCAATTTGATTGGTAATTAGACTAAGAACTAATAGGACCGAAAAGAGACAGACACTATGTGTATTGTAGTCAAGATGAATCACAATCTTTAAGTGAATAGTTTTAAAAATCTTTTCAAAATTCATGTTTAGACATTTGCTGTGAAAAATTTGGTTGTGGTCTGAATGAATATTATACATTTTAAAACAGCTTTGTACACAATAGCCTGCAATTTACCCTCTGATTCTGGGAAAATGTTGCCCACTGATGTTAAAGTAGGTTTTCTCAAAAATATTTATAAAGGTCTTTTTATAATAATAATGTTATAAAAATATATGTTTTCTTTCATGTGTTTGTAATAATTATTCACGAAAAAACAGACTTTAATTAATCTAAGTAGTGTACTGTAATCTTTCAAGCTAAAAATAAGTAATATTTTATGTGACGTCCCAATGCACCTGTGACCACAAGTCGTGAAACGCATTCCAGTGCTTAGTCAACCGGTGACCAACCAGTGATTTTTAAGAGCTATCTGAGATGAAGTCGTAAATCACTATGACCACAAGTACACTACAACGCAGCAACATTGCATTTATTTGTTCTCACTGGTGGAAGTTAAGGCCTATGTTCTAATATATTCATAACATGAATAGATTGATGCTGTCAATGCCTAATAGCCAATCATTAGTGTAAAAAATTCAGACATGAGTTATAAAGTATTAATATCACATAGATCAACGCAGTGACTTGGTGTGTGAAGTTGGGGTTTGATTGATTTATTTATTTTCCACATAATGAACAAAAACAAACATATACATGATCAAACATATTCAAGAAATCTATGTGGATGGAGACCACAAGATTTCATAAAGCATCATTTCATAAGTTCATATGGAAATTGATATTGTTTAAACCTAGTAGTCAGTGATTTTTTTAGCCATTTGGTTGACTGCGCAATGAGCCAGTTAATCGTTTGAACTGTGCATGCATGTATCCTGTGGTATCCAAGGTCAGTGGACATAAATCTATGTCGAGTATATGGTATTTATGTTGATTGACCATAATAGGAGCATGTGGTGGTAACTATGAATTTGCTTATTACTTTGGTAAAAGTCTTTTGCTTTTGATATATCCTAGTGCAGGATGAGGTAGTGGTGATGTTGGTAGCAGCTGATCATATATAATTAACTCTTGCTTATTATTGATATAGTACATATAATGATCAATTAACATTCCTTTAATATGCTTATTGACTTTACTCTTCTGATTGTAGACATCTTATATTTATTTTCAAATACTAGTTGATGAAATCATTATCATCACCATGGTTACCTAAGTGCATAGAGACATTTACAGGAGCAGATTAAGGATGTTGGCAGGAGGGTGGAAATTGCTTCCCCCTTGAACTCATGCTGTAGCTAAGATGCACTAAAGGCTGAATCATAGTATTTCATGGCCTGTAAAGAGTACTATAAGGGGTATCTGAGCCTGGCTACATCTGTCATGAGTAAACTACCCATCTTGTTGTAACAATATTAATGTTGTTGTAACAATATTAATGTCTCTGAATGATATTTTTTATATCTGATTCAAAATGCTTCTCTTGATTTCAGCTTCTTCTTTCTAGTGACTAATATATTTATTAATATTATTTTCAGTTGTGGTCAGCAAGAAAATTAATTAATTGTTAAGAAACTGTTAGAAATGTAATGTTACTTGCACTTCAGTGATGATGAGTATACGATGGGTTAAACTATCAATATTCACGATGCTGTATTAGTGTATATGGTAATGTTATGGTGGTCTATTTTAATTGAAACTATATTTTGCTACTAAATTTTCCAGAACTTCTATATTAACAAAAGTGATTATGAATATATATTATGCCAAAGATTTATATTAATACGATATTCCATATAAATAAATTAGTAAATTCAGAAGAAACTTGCCTCTAGTAATCTATTTTGATTTTGTTTGTTTAGTTTGATTTGTATGCTACTAGCTATCTGTCATTTAACAATAACAGCTTTTTGGGAAGGAGAAGTTACCTGTGAAATTGTTGATAAATATTAAAAAAACCATTAAAATATTTTTTGAAATTAACTTGCCCATTTTAAAGTAACATAAAAGTTACCAACTTGAACATAGAAATTAGTTTTTTTTTTTTAAATGTCTACCCATTAGTTTACAGCGAAAAATAATAGAAACACTTCCAGTCACCGGAAGTGTTTTATTATTTTTATTATAATTTGTTGGTTTAAAAATCAGGGTACACATTTTTTAAATTCAATCATTTCTATGCACAAGTTAATAATTTGTGTGTTATTGCAAAATGAGCAAGTTTATTTCAAACTAATTTTTTATGATTTTTTGACATTAGCAAGGGACAGTACATCTTTAAAGATGTACCAGACACTCAAAACGACCTTCAATTCTCTGTTAATCGTATTCTATAATTGCTGCTGCAAGCTACTAGATTCTAACCCAATTAAAAGTCACAACTTGTTTGTTTCCGATTCAAACTAAATTATAGTGGGACAGTCAACTCAAATGGCAAACACAAATTCCAACTGTAACATTTTTCAAAAATTTAAGCAAGGAGCTAATAATATTTATATAACCAAAAATAATATTTATATTACAAAAAATAATTTTTATATAGTGCATTTTCAGATTTAAATCTGTTCAATGTGCTCTACATAAAAACGTGATACAATATTAAAATACAATACAATATTAAAATAGGCAACAATATACAATGAAATTACAAAAATGTAGAAAGACTACAAGAATATACTTATTATTAATTACATCATCATTAAAATAATCAAAAATTTGTAAATTCAGTATCAACGAAATCAATATTAATTACCTTACAAACTATTAAATACAATTATTTATGAAATTATTACAATTTAATACAATACAGATCAATTAAACAGTTTAATTCAATATCTATAATATGGAAAGGTAATATCTACTAAATCGATAGATAAAAAATAATTATTAAAATTTACATTGTTGAAATTAATTGAAAATTTGTAAATTCACTTTTATTAATGATTACATTACAAAATTATTATTTACAGTTATTTAGAATTTTATATATTAGAATAATAGAGATTTGCAACTTTAATATAATTATTCGAATTAACTTCACATACATTATCAATTTAATCAATATACAGTATAATAGAGAAAAAATGCGACCTAATATATCATTAAAGAATCATGACATTTTGGAAATGAGTAAAGTTAGTTTACTAAAGAATTACGAATTCTAACAAAATAGAAAAAAGAGAATAAATCTTCCCAATGCTCAGTGCGTAGTTGCAAGTACAGTCTTTCTTCCCAATGCTCAATGCTGTAGTCGCAAGTACAGTCGTGTATTTACAGGGTTGTAGTTTGATTGCGCTACAATGGCTACTAAATGTCTGGACACAATCTAGCCGTCGACGACGCGACGAAAAGATAATTGAGTGCTTGGCAACGGACAGCAAAGTGTAACGGTAAAGGAGAGCTAGCCTAGCCGCCTGTGACGTATGCCTACCGATAAATTCATATTCATACTTTTTAAGCACATTTCTGTTTTATGTTACCGTGAAATTCATTGTAAGATGTGGTTAATTAATATAATAATAATTAGCATGTTATTCACGCCTTCTGTGAGTGTGAGGGCAGGTTAATCTGGCTAAGTAATCTAACCCGGCCGAGCCTACTATCCTAGGCCTAGCTAGGGCCTAGGGCCTAGGCCTTCTTAATAGTAGCTAGGGCCCACCATTTTAGGCTAGCCTGCTATAGCCTAGGCTAGGCAAAAGTGGAGCCTTGGACTTTAGAGGGCCTCTCACCTCACTCAGTGGAGTTACCTTGTCCCTAGCTAGGCTAAGTTTTTATTATTAGGCCTTTGGCTTTTCTATCCCTTCTAGAGCCAAAGGCTAGGCCTAGCTAGAGCCTAGGGGCTAGGCTATACTACAGGCTACACTAGCCTATAGGGCCGGCTGCAAACCAGTTGGGCCACTGCCTAACTAAATTAAATTATTTTATGATGAGGTCATAATATAATAGGGCTTAGGTCGGCCTATTAACTAGGCCTAGGCTAATAAAAAAGAAAAGAGATGACAATTGATGGTTACAGTGTCCGACCATTTCGCGTTGTGTGAAGAGGCACAACGCTGTTTTGTCTTTAATGATGATCAGCTCTAGGGCCTAGGTTCTAGGCCTAGATAGGAAAGATAAAACTGATTTTATTTGTATTTATTTTTTTCTATTTGCTTTTGTTTGAATACCTTGAACTAGTAAGTAGTAGGCCCTACAACACTAGGATGTGCATATTTTATAGTTTTCTTATTTACAGTATTACATTAATTTTGTATTAGTGTTCATTATATGTACATTTTTAATGTGTATTATATCTAGAATAACAGTCGTATTGGATTTAAGACTATTGAAACAACCTAATTAATAAAAACAACAATTTTGTTTCTCTCGTAATGATGTGATGATCATGTTCATAAAAATTTCAAATATGCCTAGGCTGTCACGCAGATCTTGGAAATTGGGGACAATTACATTAAAAAAGATATTTTATACTGTATATTCCAATGGTAACATTGAAAAGTAGAATAACAAAACAGTTAGCATAAAATATCACAGCAGGACAAGAAAGCCACCATTGAGCAAGCAAAAAAATTAAATGAAATTAAATCTTTGCTCAGTAGAAATCTAAAAAAGCATGAGATATGGTCAATTGAGCCAGTATCTTAATTGTTTCAAGGTTACCTTTGATAAATTAATATTAACATCACTTTTTTAACATTTCATATAGAAAACAATGCCCCATAGATTGTCTCAATCAATTTCAAATTTGCCAGACTCCAAGCACTGATCATGAGCAACTTCAACATAACAAACCCTAATGCCAACCGGTCAGCGATCTCCCTTGGAGGCGAGTTTACAAATCGTGATCGACATGCCGCAAATAAGTACAAGATCGGCAGTCTTGCCAGCATCCAAAGAAGCAAAGAGAAAGTAAGACCAAAGTGAGTAGAGTAATTATTTTCTACATCAAACCATTAACTACAAAAAGTATATGTATAAAATGGACTTTTTAGTCTTTTACTTGTATTTATTTATTTTTTTATGTATATACAGGGTATATAAATTGGCGAGGACATTTTTTTTGCTTCTAATTTGTAGTTTAAAGCTATTAACAGATTGAATTGTAAAAGTTAATCAGTTTATTTCATATAAACTTTATAATGATTAAGGCATTTATTTATTGAGTGATAATATTTTTTTTTAAATAACAAAGAAATATTTTATTAGGTCACAGCCAAATACTGCTGATCAAACTGAACATGTTTCATTCTATGAGCCACCTCAAAGTGCGCCCTTGGTTGGTAAGGGACGATGCCAACGTTTCTATGAAGTTGAGAAGCCAAAAAGTGCTAGGAAGGCTCTTGAAAACCACCTCCCACTCAAGAAAAATAAAGGTCTCTCATCAGGCAGTTCAGATGTAAGTTGTCAATCAAACAGGCTTTCTGCTAATATGGCTAAATTTGCTCTTGGGTATCTAGCTTGCAACGACCATATGCCATTTCACGCTACTGTGATTTTTCTTTCAATGTTCATGCTTTAATTTTGATTGTACAATGTAAATTTGACTATTTAAATGTAAATGAACTGTAATAATGCAACACTTTTAGCTCCCTGGAGGAATATGCTGTAACTGGTAAACTATACCTGTTATTCAGCATATTTGCAATCAAACCTACTAGATACTCACATACTAAGGGTTTAAGCTGACCAAAAAAAATAGAAGATATTTAGCAATTTGGCTCTTTCGGTATGAAAATAATTAGCCAAATATAAATTTTGATTAGCCAAAATAAAAGAATATAAGCAATGATAACTTCAATTCCATTAGCTTTATGGCTAATTTTGAATGAAGATATTTTGCAAACTTCAGCTTTTAATTAGGATTTGGCTATATGACAGCTGAAACACTGCATGTTCTTAGATGAAGAGAGATAACTTTTCTGATTTATGCAGACCTACCTATTGAATACAATTATAGTACTCACAATTGACTTAGGCTACATAGTAGCCCTTAAGAGTAATTGCAGTGTTGCATGCAGCAAAACAAACTTTGTCCTGGTATTGATTTTAGTTGATGAGAGTTATTGATCCTTGATAATAAGAACTTGGCGTAAAGTACTCACTTTATAGCTTCTACTGACTAGTACTTAAAACAAGCTGCCTCCACAAGACTGACCATTACATTTGTATTTGATCAGTTAGTGATATTCTGTCTGTGTTCTGTTAAGAGTTATAGTAATAAATTTGTTGAAGAATTCAATATTTGAATTGTGTACTCTGTATATTTAAGTAAGTTTCAGTTGAAAATTAGAAAAATTTAATATTTTCCTCACAAATATTAACAGAAGTTTGCAAAATCTAATGTAAAATTCTTACAAGTTTTTAATTTTTAGCCATCACAGGAATATGCCTTAGGCCCTGGAATGAAACTTTCAAGAAGCCGTAGCAAAATGGCGGTAACGATTGACACCGGACTTATGGAGCTTCCCAAGACACACCGGAAAACCAATGAGAGGTATATAACCCAATTCAGTCCATTTCATATTTATGTGCTAAAAAATAACTAGTGTGGATGTTGGACAACCTTCTATCTTCTAGTAGTAGATACAAAAATACACTGGTTTTTTTTTCTAATGATAAAAACATTATTAGATGAGTTAATATATAGACAGTTGGTAGAACTTTGTTTCGAAGTAAGAATTTGCGTTTGATGCTAGAATGTTCTGTTTAACATTTTTAAAAACTTTACTTTTCATATTGTCATTTATAATTCATTTTATAAGTAAATGTGTTTAACATTATTCCTTAAATATGTACTCATACCTTTACCTATCCGAGTCTCTAGATATGACACATTTGTATGTATTTGTGAGGTAATATAAGATCACTTTATATAAAGTCAATTACCAGTACTTAAAAATTATAAGTTAAAGATGTTTATACTTACAGTACTTGTGAATTATTATGACTTTCTTGGTTGTTTTGTGAATGTATTAGATTCTGTGTAGGTGTTTTACCTCATTCACAACCTTCTTTCTTCTCTGCACCCAGTACTCCATACCAGGATCCGGAAAGGTAAGATATAAAATACTAATTGCACCTTTTAAACTATTTAATTATGTGTATGGTAAAGCCTAACATAAACATATATATTGTTTACTGTTTAACCATTCTTCTATTGTTATGGGAAAGACAAGTCTTGGTAATTTAATACTGAATAACTTATTGCTTATATAAGTCTAATGAATCTTTTTTCACCAGCTTAAGTACCTTCAGATGAACTTCTAAATTTGCTGTGCACCTTCTACTCTTACTTACACATCCCATAATAATTTGCAGTCTTAACTTAATCAATAACTCTTAATGTAGTGATGTGATTTTTAAAAAAAACTAAATCCTTTCCGAGCCACTGGGGCTCATAGGGCTGGAGCTTATCTCCAGTTTCTGTAGTGTGAAGCAGATGAGAGTTGTACTCTCCCCTGGACGGGACAATAGTCCATCGCAGGTTAGGCCGCTAGGTGTGATTTAAACATGCTATTTATATTTATGTAATTCAAGCTGATGATATCTATATAATTTTTTGTGTACTGGAGCTCACTAACTGTTATCAATTGCATATTGGTGTATACTCACTATAATTACTTGGTGTGCATTGGGAAAGGAGCTTTCCTCTAAGCCACGCCCCTTGGATATTGTTGCTAAGGTCCCACAAAATGACAGGGTAAAAGGCAAACACATGCATGTGTGAGACAACACAGTGTGTGTTTCATTGATTTAATAATTTATTATTTAATGATTAAAATACATACTATAGTACCAAGTTAAATTGCGTTCTTAATAAAACAGAAAATTATAGTTAAACACTTACTTACAAACGTCAAACCTGCTCCGTGGTTCAATCTTTGAGTCGTAACTGTTTACATAATTACATGTGGACCAATTCAGGGATTCCCCATGTGCTTATGTTTGCAGTCGATTCGATCGTGATTTGTTCATAATGGCTTTTAAAAGAATATAAGTTCCTGTTTTTACTACTACTTGTTTGGTCAAGCTTGTATTTTAACATGAGTATAACACTTAACTATTTTGGAAAGATTTTCCTGCATCGCGGATTCATGGGTACATTCATTACTGGCTAAAACTTAAAATACAAGAATTGCCGACGACTGCCAAGGCCTGTCAAATTTACATTGGAAATATTTTTCGTCCCAATTTAAGGGCTGGTTTGTAGGACACACATATTCCTAGCTATGTTCTGATTGGGGAGTTAAGTTTGATTGACTTTCCGAAAAGGTCCATTGAAGATAAATGTGAATACAGTAATATTAATTGTGGAACATTACAAACAAGGTTAAGGCACATTTAAGAAATGAATTGCTGTTGATACAAAATACTATATTTATTCCCTTGTCAGTGTTACCGGGAGTGGTACAGCATAAAAATTACTTTTGCTATGCCCTTGCTCAAATGCTTTGTGTGATATTGTCTGTCTTTAGGCAATTTCTACATTTATGGCTTAATTATAATAATGTTTGTTTTCCATACATTGTTTTAATATCTAGAATTACTACTGTAGTCGTTATAGTCATTATGTGATTATGATGTGAAAATATTATGACACGATATGCCATGCAAAAGATATATGATTGACATTTTATGATTTTTTACAGCAAGTAGAACAATCAATCACATCATCTGATATGGGATCAGTGCAATTAGTATTATTACCACGAGTAGTGTAGACAATCTTTAGTGTAAATATTCAAGTAGAGTATGTGTAGAACCACTCACTCAAGCTACGTAGCAATGCAGGTATGAGTCTCGGTGTCAAGAGGGGGAGTGAGGGATTTTGATAGCACAGCCAAGTGTTTTATAAAGAGTTTGATGATGCTGTAACATAACTTTTTTTTATATATAATTCTTAAGTTTTAAACATCTTTTCTGTTAAATTCAGCACGTATGTAAATTATTGATTTATTTAGTCTGCGTAACTACAACATAATATAATAACCAACTTCTGCTCGTTAGTGAGTATGCCTACCATTCATACAAATTAAACTAATTAGTAAATAAGCATTGTATATAAAACAAAGCATATTTAATATGATTTAACCCGTTAATTGCTGATACAACATTAAGTTTTTTTAAATGTACACCTATCCACCTCTACTCTGCCTACTTTGTATGCAGTCATCACTTTCATTAAGCACTCTATAATACCAATACTGTCATAATTATAATAATAATGTTATTATAATAATTATGATACTAATCTACTAATAATTATATTTTAGCATTTATAAGATTTATAATACTAATAATGTATATATCACTCATTTGGGGATGTACTGAGTATCCTGTATGATAACACGTCAGGTAGGGCAGAACATCACTCCTATGATATTTTCCTGACGGAAACTTACATCGATATACATACATAATGCTTGACCATATTTATAGTATCAAACCATTTATAAAATATAGTTCATCTTTAACAATTAATGATAATGAAAAATATTAATAATAAAATAATAATATTGGTAATGATGAAGAAAGCAATAATAAGATTTAAATAATGATAATGAAAATAATATTTTTTATTTATTTACGAATAAATAATAATCATTTTACTAATAAAAATAATGGTTTTACCACTGAAAATATATTTGATTAATCTTGCTCTATTATTAAACCAACTTGTGCTGAAGTCCATCACTCTATCGCATGTGTGCATGACCTTTGAACTCACTACCATTGACAGCTGTCCGCCATTATAATTGCACGGATGTGATTGGTTGATTACTTGCTTGAGGGCAAAACAATATTTGGAGAATGAAACCAATTTGTTATTTAATGTGACATTATTATTCTTATCTATAATTTATTCTTGCTGCATTAGAGCTAAGCGGTGAGAAACTATTTGGATTATTTGATTAGTTGTCTAAAATTAAATGTTTTTTTCAATCAAATTTTTTTAACATCTTTTTTCTTTATATCTTCATTAAGTTTAAATATTTCACATTTAAAAGTGCACTAACTTTATGTATCCTCTTTTAAAATAATCTTGCATACTGTTTGCTGATTGGATGGTTTGACATTTTCACTTAATTTGCATGAAACTAATTTTCACTGTTACCAATATATCCTACCACTACCCCATTGTAAATATGTATTTGAATGTCTTGTGGATGGATTTCTAACACGTTGTGGATAATCCATAATGCATATATTGATAATTAACATGATTTATCAATATGATATGCGCTTTACCAAATTATCACTGATTCATTGTAACTATGCATGAATATTGTGTCACTTGTATTTATTATTGTTCATATATACTTGTATGTAAATGCCTTTAAAAAAATAATCGTAACATTTTTATATGCATGTAAACTACATGTCCATGAATGATGAATCAATGTATCAAAATAAATAATAATTATGAACCTAGATTAATCAAACCAAAAATGTCCACAAATACCATTAAATGGTCAAGCCCCTGGACAGTTAAACCCAGCCTGCCCGCCCCTTTAAATGTGAGGGGCAGAGGTATTGACAAGAAAAATCGGCTAACCTCATGGACTCTAAACAGGTAGAAGATCAGTCGACATGGCTTAGATAGTTTTTCTCTTGTACATTCAATTTGCTTGCATCCTTAAGTACACTATGGCAGAATTAGTTTGAAATAATTCCTCTATCTGTACTACTGTAACAATATTTTACCTTTTATGCTGCAAGCTGGATATTAACTGTGATATTATTCACCTCTCTGTTTAGGGATTCTTTGATTTTTCAACTACAGAACCAGGTCACTGACCTTACTCTGTATCTAGAGGAGGAACGCATGAATCATAAAAATACAAGAGAAAAGGTGAATTCATTATGTTGTTAACATTTTTGTTCTTTTATTAGAAAGTCCCTTGAAATTCAATAGTATTTTTTTACTGCAATTGTGTATCTCCTCACTCTTTATATGCTATACCTAAAACTTCAACTGGCATCTTTCAGTGCTTTGAGGCTATTTTTTGCATTAGGCGCTTTATAAAAGTATTATTATTGATTATTATTATTATTATTATTATCCTCCTCCACCACATACACTGGATTAAATGTTTATTACTTTTGTTATTATTCTTCTTTATATCAATGCAAAATTTAACATTATTTTGTATTCTTTTAACTAAATATGTTAGAAACTAATATAAACAGATACCAAAATTAAATTTTCTTGGAATTTGTTAAGGCCAGTGTCAATATTTCAAGTGTGGTGCTCGTGTAAAATATTTTATGGATACAAAATTTATTTGTACTTAGGCTGCTGCAAATTTAAAATTAAAACTTAAACACCTGGAAGAAAGGTATAAGGAAGAGATTGATGTACTGGTGAGTGACCATAGGGAGGAGTTAGGTTTGGTGAAACAGCTGCAAAAGAAGGAGTTAGAGCATCAGAAAAATGCTAGTGATTCAGCTTACTGTAAGTTAAATTCACTTTTCTCAGCCCTCTGCACTACTATATTTCATATTGGTGTAAATGTAGTGGTATTTTAATAGTATAAAATATTCAGATTACCTAATATTGAAACAATATATTTTCTTATTTATTTCTAATGGGATGTTATTTAGTTGATGTGTCGGTGGTTGTGGCTTGGGATGTCAACCTAGTAGTGTGGGGTTCGAACATCTAGCTGTTTGTATTGCTTGCTTCCTTGGGCTAGGCACTTTATCCACATTTTTCTTGTTAAGGCAAAGACCTTGTACCTTGTTTCACAAACTTATTTCTTTAAAGATTGTCAGAGGAGGGTGTGGAAACAAAATTTTGTTTTCTTATTTAGCAAATGGTTTTGCCAAAAACATCGAGACAGGAGAAAAAAAAAATTAATGTTGAATGTAAACAGTGTAGTAATGGGATGGTTAAAGGCTTTAATTTTATATAATTAGGAAGAAATATACATATTTTATTTTTGGAGATTTCAAGGAAGAGGCGGAAGTAATAAAAAAGAAGAAAAACTTTCATTTTTTTCTGAAATTTCCATTTTTCCGTGGCGGCGGGTGCACTAATTCGCCAAAAATTAAATTTTAATTTTATTCAAAATCACCATTATTGGTGGGTTCGCTAAATAAGGTATCAAAAACGTCTCACCTAATGTGTACCGGGATAGAGGATAAAATATGTAATATGACATGGGATGTATGACATGGGATGTACAGCATTCGTTTAATACATAGTAGTCTACACAACATTTTTTAATATTGTAAATGTATTGTTTTTGCAAAATTCATATTACTCATTTTGTATTTGCTTCCTTCAGCACGTTTAAAAGGTGAAATGGAGTTTCTGCAAGGAGCTTTTGAGGCCTACAAGACAACTTTAGCTCAAGATATGGAAGAAAAATGGAAGAAGAGAGAAGGAGATTTGAAGATACTCTTTCAAGAGGAAATGGATAAACAATTACATGAACTAAGTAAGCAAGTTACTTATATATTGGAGATGCATAATAGTTTACTCCACAAAAATTATTTTTGAGCAACTTTTTTTCTGATTTATTTTTAGAATCGCAGCTAATTGAAGAAAAGCTGCGAGAAAAAAATATTATGACTCGAGAATTCCACCGTCAATTGCAATTGTCATCTACGGATCATAAGAAAGAAATTGACGTAAGATTCTTATTCTGTTTATATTCCAGCACGTGTCCATATAAATCCAACTATTATATGATACACCCACACAAACACCCAGGTGAACCCCACCCCAAACATATAGTCATACACATACCACACTACTCAATCCAAACAGGCACTTAAGCACCTTGACCAACAAATTACTTTGCTACATGTGGTAATACCATGGTCAGCTGACTTCAGCAAGACAATTGACAATACAGTAGTAAAATTATTCAAAAATTATGAATTTACAGGAGATGTGATTGTTCCTGGAGATTGCTTACTCACAGGGGTAGAGTAGACTGTGCTGCTTTGGGACTCCTACCAACTGGCC